CGAGAAGGATCGGTCACGTGATATGGCTCCAAGGGTCGGAGGAGAGCCGATCAAATCACGGCGACGAAATGAACCTGTTACAAACGAGAAGCTAAATTGAGTGGACACTCGAAATAAGGCATTAGATTAACTACGGTTGTGGTGTATGTCACGTGACGCGCTTTGCAAGATCAAAATCTTTTCCGCGAAACGGTAGAATCGCTCCGGGAACAACGACCAAAAAAAGCACGTGACAAAATTGGACTAATATTATAAACGAGGCGCTAAACTGAGGGAGCACTCGCAACACGACGACAATCACGTGAATGGCAAAACTGTTGCTCGAATGGAGTACGTGCGGCCTTTCGGGAATATCACGTGACGGCACGAAATGGCGGGCAGAATAACGTGACAATCCGCGCACGAATCACAGGGCCCGAAAGCGAGCGAATGAGATATTTGGTTGGGTTATATTCTTCTGGTCAGGAGGATAATAAAAGTTGCTAACAATGACAACTCGTACTTATTATTTTTTTGCTCGTGTTTGTGCGAGTTGCCTAATTATGTCCTCCAAAAAAAAGAAAAAAAAGAACAAGAAAGTAGTCGGGAAGTGGATCGATAGGAGGAAAACATACACAGCCTTTTTTCCCGGTGTGTGTGTGTGTGTATTTATTCAAAGTTTGTCGTCTTCCCTACCCCCGAGGGCATTGTTCGTCATCAATCTTCTGTTAGAAAACTTTCCCAGGATTCTTCACTCCCCTTTTATGGGCCACTTGTTTATTCATATCCTTTTTTCGAGTGAGAATATCTCGCCATTAAACAGTTTTATAACCCTGTTTTCTCGTGGTTTCCCCCCACGGCCCTGCATCTGGGTGCCGTCACGTGACGGTAAGAGTTTCGATTCTCGAACAGTCACGTGGCACCGACGAATTTCACTTTTGTCGCCCTCCGGCGTATATACGAACTCCACACCTGCTGTAACACGTTGATTGTGTGACGAGTTCACGGGTGCTGATGGCCAACGTATAAAAAAAAAAGCTATTTTGAAGTTCGTGAGATCACTTGACAGACTGTCGGATTTATAAACGTGCGTGACGATCACGTGACATCCGAAAGCCTTTCATCGGCCAACGCCAGAAATGGGGGGAAGAATCCCTGTTGGATTCGATCGCGTGACAATAAAGGAACCAGATTAGGGCAGGTTACATAAACAGCCACGTGATCGTTCCGAACTTATACAGGTGACGAGGACCGGCGAAGACGGAGCAGGCCTCTCGGATCGATCACGTGGTAGCGAAAGAGCTTCGATTTAACGCATTTAAAACCGTTTAATGGGCATTAAATTCGAATCAGCTGACCGATAATCTCGAGCGCTGAAGTCGGCAGTCTTCCAAGGCTAGGACGCGTCACGTGACAATAGGTGATACCTTCAAAAAGTGCTATGGAAGAAGCGAGAGGAAATCGATCACGTGACGATAGGAAACAGCCCATTTGCACGGAAGAAATTAAAGAAAGAACAACATCGGAAACTTTGCTTAATGGAAAAGTACCAATTTGACGAGGGGGAGGGTAGTAGTTGTAGTAGTAGGAGGTGGAGGAAGAGGAGGAAAAAAAAAACTAACAGAATGTAAAGCAGAATGGGATAAAGTATGTAAAAAAAAAAAAATTTATATGTAGATCCACCATCTGCTAAAGTTACTATATATAGGTCTATCTGATAGATTTTCCATCTTCTCGCACCAACACGTGCAGCGATTCCGTAAAAACTAGCGAAAGAATAAGTGGGTGAGGAAAGGTGAATCGAGCATTAAAAAAATCCTCTTTAATTTCTTTTCACCCCGTTACGTGAATTAAGCGATTAGAGAGGGCCACCACGCCGTCACGTGATCGAGCAGACCGATATTTCTTTGTCTTGCCTGATTAACTAGTGGATGATCCATCCCGCCGCGCGTGCTGCGCGGCCGGGCTGGTGATTTAAGATCGCTGTCGTGGGCTGAATTTATACCTGTTAGTGGCCGTCACGTGCTCCGCTCAGGAGAGTCGCCATCGCGTGGTTACGCTCTCGATTCTCCGTTGTTTGCGCCCGTTTATCACGTGATTATACGGAACTCGGCTTCTGTTGACAATGTATCGGGCTCGCGATTTAAATCCCCCCGTGATGTGACAGAAATCATCTTACCGTCACGAATTCCGTTTCACGTGACCGAAGCGCGAACTCCGTCCACGTGACGGCTTTCGGAATTTCTGGCTCGTAGGCACGAGAATCGAAATGGTGGCGGCCGTCACGTGACCGCTTAAATGTCACGTAACCAATCGGACGCGAATATCTCGGCCGTCGTAAAGGTCCTAATTTGGCTAATCTAGGAGCAAGAGTGGCGCCCTACTTCGACTGTTCGACGGTACGAATTAAGTGACCACGCGTTGCCGGGAGGGTTTGAACCCCGTCACGTGACAAAATCGGGGCAATTTTTCGCGGAATTCCCTTCTTACACGTTCTATTAATTAGGCAAATTAATCTTTAAATTTAGGTATCTTGCATCTTTAGTGCCTCTTTCTTCCACTTAAATTTGCATATGGCATTGGCCCCATCAGGCCCTAACTAATAAATTTCGGTGCAGAAATGTTGCCTTATTTTCAAAAAGTCGAAATTAAGTATTTTAAGGCGAAATTATATTATGTAAAACTTATTAAAAATTTTGCTATGTTGTAATTTAGTTCGTAGTGTTATAAGCTGCCAGTAGCTTAACTAGAACGGATGTTTAGGGGACCAAATTGGAACGTGCAAACCTACATTCATCCTCGTACCACTGTATAAGGAGTAAACTCGTACTGTACTGTAAATATCGTATGTGCTATATACAGTATGTGTGTATGCGCGTATGTTTGTCACATTTAAATCTTTCTCCTGTATTTGGTTTTTCTTTAATTTACGGTAAATGGGTCCAAGCCCCTGGGCCTCTCGTGGTTTCTCTATTGTAATGGATTGGCTTGCTTGTAAAGTTATGAGTATGTTTCTGTAATAATCTGTAAAGAAAATCGAGATTATTAAAGAAAGCAACGAATTCTAGATAATCCGAAGTTAGAATTCCGCAGTTTATACGAATCCTGTAAATAAATTTACAAGAAAACGAATTCTAGAATTTCAAATTTTCCATAAACTGACGAATTTTACTTGCATTCGTTAGATCTAGAACTGTTCGAAAATGACAAGTAACGGTTAAGAAGAAATCGATAATTCTAGATCTACGGAATTAACAATAATAAACCGTGAATAAACATATATTCTAGATCTAAATGAAACATACTCTACAGGAAATTAACGTTTTTTTTTTTTTTTAGATGTAAAAAGCCGAAATTCTAGAATTTTATGAACAAGTTGCAGTTCAGAAATTGATAATTCTAGATCTTCGAAGCTGACGAATTTCAAATCACGAGTGAAATGTATTCTAGATTCTAAAGCGAAGATTATATTATAAAACAATTGGTATATTCTAGACCATAAATTCTAGAATCGGAGGAATCTTATTTGCATAGATCTAGAAAGAAAATGACAAATCGTAACTAAGAAGAAGGCGATAGTTTTTAGATATACAAAGCTGAGGAATTGGGGATTGTAGCTAAATATATTCTAGATCTAAACGAAATCTATAAGTAAGTAAGGCAGAAGAACTGGAATTTTACGTCATAAATAAGTTGATGTATTTTACTTGAATCGTTCTTTTAAACATAGATTTGTTGATCTGATTGAAATGTGTATTATTAATAATAATAAGAAAATGACACAGAATTGGCTGGGAAACGGACGAATTGTAAATCGGCTTACTTCCACGTCAAGAAGAATTGACCAATAAAACAGGCGTAAACATCGTTCACGTTCTAGAGACAATATATATTCGAGAGCAAACAAAGGCCTGAAGTTGTGGTAAGTAATAATAATGCCGGAGTACAGACAAACAGATAACAAAAAGCAGACACGATCCGTGAAATGAGTCAGGTAGACTTTAGCTGATGAAGCACTCGTGATTTTATAAAAATCAATTTTTTTAATTATACAAGAGGATTAGAGGGGGACGTAACCCGTCTATTGATTGGTCGGCAGCCGGGATGAATGGTTGTATCGCCAGAGAGCGATTGGTGAATCAATAACATTAAACGCTTCCGTTAATTCGGAGCGGCAACGACGTCGCGCTCTCTACCCAATGGCGTTCAAAAAGCCACCCTTCTACCCGGATCGTTCGTGACGTTGCGGGTGCGTGACGCGGTTCTCACGATCGTCCCGACGGTATGTGACGTCCCGTATTACGTCATCGTAGGACGCTAATCAATGGAGGGAGCGAACAATGGCGTGTCCATTGTGTCGGAACCGACACTTCCTGGTGGCTGATTAGATTGTATCTTTGTAGGAAATAGTAGATCAATCGTGCGTTATCGAGAACTTTCTTCTCTTATTACCGATCTGTTATATTTATGTTTACGTTTGTTGACTACGTTCCAGTAAACACGGGCGTGAAAAAAAAAAGAAAAAAACCGAGCCGCCATTTTGTCGCTCGCGTGTCGCGTCGCTACGCGCCACGCTCGCAACCGAAGCTTGGGGGTATTTTTTCTTATTTTTTAAATTCCTTTCCGTTCGCCCATTTAAGATATTTCCGTTTGGAAATATCTTAAATGTTTAAATTTCCGTTTGGAAATATCTTAAATGGGCGACAAAATCTACCGATTTTTATACATTACGCGGGTGCCAAACTTCAACGCGCCGCGATCGTGTCAGCGAGGCGTTTTATCGATCGTTTACGTGTTTTTAAGTAACTAAATAAAGCTTTCTCTGTAAACAACTTAATTATAATCATAAATTCTCTCAATACGGAGTTGTTTTAATGTGTTAAACATCCATCTGTAGCCCCGTTTTAACTTATAACAGGAGCGGATCAATTGATAGCGACGCGATCTCGCGTCGTAAAACTACACACGCGCGCGCGTAAAAAAAGAGAAAAAACAGCGAGAAATTGAAGTGTTTTTCTTACCTTGAAAGTAGCTTTTCGTCCTCAGGTAACTGACGCTTAACCGTAGAATGGATAATTTGTCTAATTTTGAGAGGACGCTCTGCTCGTATGGAAGTAGACTAGCCAAAGTGTCCAGTTCTGCGTTTAATCTCTCGCGATGTCTCTTGCTAGGGTTTGATTTCGTTTGGCTATCTTTAGGCGCCACTCTAACACTGAAAACAATGAAAAAAATTCGTTAAAAATCGCGTAAAAGAGCGACAAAGTTGCCCCTAGCGCAGCGGTTCTCAACCATATTTTTTCGCTCGCGCATCGCCTTCTGTTTATAGGCATTGTACCATTAACTTATGCACTCCCCAGTGGCACGCGTACTACCGGTTGGGAACTTCTGCGCCGTGCATACCTTAAAAAAACTCCCATAGCAGCAAATTATAAAATTTTTATGCAAATTATCTCATTAGTTCCTAGGTTATTTGACAACTTAAATGAGACGTATCGATAAGGCAATTATAATTAGATTTAAATGGAAAATTTTAATTTATGTTTAAAAATCGATACAGGATAAAAAAAATTCAGTACTTAAAACTACGTAAAAATATAATATTTAACGATAAATGGGACTCTATTAGCTTTAATTTTTATACAGTCAAGCCCTACAGGAAAGTATTACAGGGAGCAGGACTGTATCGTAATCAAATACGTTGTAAGTAGTCTTAAATTCTATGACACAAACTTCGATTTAGCACCACACTGAAATTGGCACTAGATCGAGTGCTGTTCTAAACCGAAGTACTTCATACAATACGCATTACATACAGTAATGAAGGGTTCTCTGTTTAATATTTGTGGGGATGACCTATTCACAAATATTCATCGACCCTTTACTCGAGGTTTGACTGTACTCAGGAAATGTTACTTGGATGGATTTTGCACTATTTAAAGTAGAGGATAATGCAAATTTGTTTAGAAGAATCTTCCCTTTTACTTATAAAAATATGAAGGGAGAGGTGGACCGAGTTGTTATGGCTCTAAGATATAACATATAACAGGCCCTTTCCCTCCACCAAATAATAAAACGTGATGCCCTAAGCTGTAGCTTGTTTAGGTCATGAGCAAATCCTGCCATATATGGAGGTATATTGTTCTGTTTTCTTGAAGGAATTAATCTTCAAATGGAAGTTCTTAAACGAGACAGTGATTATTCTCTCGTATTTAAAGAATTTGAGACGATAACTTCTGCTTTTACCTGCGATTTTATGCTGGAAAAATTGAATCTGATCGTAGATTACGGGGGATAATAAAGAAATTTGATGAGTTTCGATGATAATTTCAAGCATTTATTAAGCTAGAGGATAATTTTAAAACGATTTTCTTAAAGATTTATTAATTAAAATCGAGGGAAAAGTTTTTAAAATAATTTACGTTGGAAGGATGAGAAACTAATTGGCAACAAAAAGAGGTGGAGGAAAGATAGTAAGATACATTTAGAAGAATGGTTTCGGGGTCTTTAGTGGCATTAGAGAGAGAAAGGTGAAAGTTGCAGCTCGAGGTAGCCTAAATTTGATGGATCAGAGGGAGAGATGGGGTCGGTTAGAGGGACGTTTAGTGGTATTAGTGGGAGAGATTTGCAACGGCGGTTATGGGTATAGTTTATGATAATCACGTGTTCTGTAGATCGATAAAAAGATTAATTAGAGAAACGGCGAGAGACGGGATGTTTGTTGCGAGGTTTAGAGAGCCATCCTGAAGGGGGGAGGGAATTCAGCACAAATGTTTAGCATTTTGCAGGCGGTAGCTTAATTTACGAACGTTAGAAGCAGCCATGTAGAAAAATAGACGGTAGCTGCTCCGGTACAAGGACTCTATTCTGGTCAGATCGGTAGAACAAAGGCAGTAAAAGACGCGCGCGCTCGGCTGGACATGTCGAAGTGTTTACCCGAGTCACGATTGATACAGGTTAAACGGGCAGAAACGAAGCTGCGTGCTTAGACGTCATTGGACCTACATCGTTAAATGTTTATTACGTCACTTCCGTTTCCGCTGTGTGTCAGCTAATGTCCCGAACATTAAGCCTTAATATTCCTGGATGGAAAAGACATTGGATCGAACCGAGGCAGATTAAAGTACAGCGCGTGTATATATATATATATATGTATTAAAAAAAAGAGCATTTACTTCTACTTTTCCCAGACCAAACCTATGCTTAAGTACTATTAGTGAAATAGTGTAAGTTAGGCCTACTTTTAAAAGCGGTTACGACCTTTGTTTCTTCGCAAATTATTTTCTTCTGTGTAATTGGCAAAGCGTTTATGAGCTAAGAAATGGCACCCGGCGGCACTTAAAGTCACGAAATATCAAAAAAATCTCAATATTTCATAACGAAATTTTAAACCTAGTTTAAGATCTTAATCATCAACTCAAATACAAAATATATTACATGTAAGCCTCATATTTATTTAGTAAGAGGCAATTATTTATAACTCGAGAACGAATCAATCGATTTTCACTAAATTTATATAATTTATTCATAACGTTAATACGAGGCCGTGTACCAAATTTAGTTAAAATACCTCCAATAAATGATTTTTATTCGATTTTTTTTTTATTTTTTTCCTATACGCGCCCTTATCAATTAGTAGCAAGTAATTGGGGGAGAAGTAAAACCTGTTATAATTAAAAAAATGATTTTAAAAAAAGCATCTACTAAAGAGGATCTCATTAAATCTTTCATTAGGTTTAATAAATTTTATAGTAAAATATAAGGGCCTTCGTTTGATAGGCCTCATTCGCGCACGAGAGATAAAATAATTTTTAACTAGACTATTAATAACAAACAAAATTGCTTATGAGGCACCAAATGGGATTTCAGAAACGGAGACCTCATAAGAGTCAACGGATCTATAGAGATTTAAGGAACACATTTATAAGGGCAGAACATAAGGGGCTTCATCACCACCATTTTGTGCTGAGATTTGGGCTTTATATTAAGTCTAATGACACCTCGATCGCTAAATTTTCAGTTGTTTTCGCTTAGAATTATAAAACATTTCCAACTTTTATACGTTTTAGTAGCGTTTAGGAACCAAAATTTTGAATTTCGGAGCTTTATTCTAACGACAAAGACCCGAATCTAACCTTAATTTCGATTGTATGAACTGTAAATTATAACTTGGAAGAGCTGTAATTCTGTTTAAATACTAATTTTGTACATCTTAATGTCTATATTTATGCAAAATTTAGCGTATTTTGGACACTCTAAATGAAGCTTTGGCATTTATTTTTAGTTTAAAGATTAGACCTCGTAGGCCTGATTACATGTATACTACATTATACACTCGGAGAACACACACACAAATATACAGATCCCGTATTCAAATGCGTATTACGGATCAAAAATCGGAAGAGGTTGTTAATAGAAGACCTCTAAGACGATGGCCACTGGGTCATAAGGACTCTTATCAAGTGTTGATTCTAGTGATTGACAGAGGGTGCCGATGTCACGCAGCTTTGCGTGAAGTTTCACGTGCATGCTTCGTGACCCATTAGCCATTTGATCAAGTAATAAAACGTGTGCCATTCAAAATGCATACCATCGCTATAAGAGGCCTTCTATCGTCGGTTATGATGCAGCAACATGCCCATCCGAGTGAATACAGTGGGGCAACTTGCATCAAAAAATAAACATTAGAAGTCTTTATGGCATTTCTACACGCGCCTACTTCAAGCAATCCGTTTCCCTTCTAATTATAGACGTGGACCTTACACAGAAAAATAAAAATAATAAAAAAAAAGCAACTTCAATTTACGAAGAACAAATAACCTATATTTTAATGCCAAGTGCCACGTTTAATATTGGTACAGTACATGGCCTGAAGTTCGATTAGTTTGGACAGTGCACGTTTTTTTTTTACGTAAATTTTACGTCATTCTTCAGAATTTCTCAATGTAAAACTGAATAGACGACGTCAAATTGACGTGAAACTGTGCACTATGTCGACCAATCGAATAGACCCTGTATTCTTAATGTTACGATCCGAAGATGTATGATATCTTCCATTGAAGACAAATTAGGAGGCCTTTCGATACTTAATAGCGGAATTATGAAGATAAAAAAATATAAATAATATTTCTTATGTTGGGAAGAATGGTATTAAGGGTGTAGAAGGTCTGTCGGAACTTAAACTAGAATAAAAAAGGCTTCCTAAAAAGTAGGTTACAGGCTTGAGAACGTATCTTAAGATTCGTATAAAGAGAAATTTAATATAAAACGGTTAATTAATTGGCATATAACTACGTTTAAAGGAAGAAATAACACTCAAATGAACATCTTTAACACGTTAAATTACATTAACACCATTTTTATTATCTTGTAAAATGATCAGAATCGACTTAAAGTCAGCCTTTATCAACGATAAAAATGTAATTTAATAAATTTTAACAAAAAATTCGAATTGTTCTAACAACATAACTGGAGTTTTATAATTAGGGTTTAGAAGAGTACACATTAAAGATGTAGACCCATCTGTTGCAAAACTCAAACATATGACTAATCCTGGATTAAATTTGGTTTTTTCCCTCTAATATCTTACGCTTCAGCGATCCAAACTAAAGGAGATACAAAAAATGGTATCCGGGGTCTTTGTTTAAACTTCTATTTGTCATACTTTATAAAATGAAGATCCTCTTAGGAGTATGCTTTGGAAAATAAAAGAAAAAAAAAAAAAAAAGAGGAAATATACTTCCAACATCAAAGCCTACAATTAGTTTTCAATGGATTCTTTGGTCTCTTGGACTTTATCCTATCCTCGATAACAATATCTTAGTATTGGATTGTTATTCAATAGACCTAAACCATTTAAAATTTCATAAACTACGGCGTATGAATGCATAATTTAGCTACATTAAAGCATTTAAAACTCTTTAGAATTCGCTACTGAAGCGTAAAGATTAAAGCATTGTTTATAAATTTGTCTGTCCAGTTGTTGAACTGAACAACGTGTTCGACTTCGGATTACTTTTAACAAATTTATAATTTTAAAGTCTCGTATTGATCATTGTTAGTAAAGATTTACGCGAAACATTTAGAAGGTGGCCCAAATTGGTACCGTGCAAACCATTATGAAGCCACCACTAGAGCTAATGGATGAAGAGTAAACTCTTAGTGTGTTTGCCACGTTCGAATCTTTTTCGTGTACTTATATATTTTTTCTTAATT